ATTGGTATGGGAAAAATACGCTTGATTCATCGAAAATCCCAGCAAAGAATGTGACATGGGAAAAGACCTGGCCTTTCTTGAAGCTCACATCTCTTCTGACGACCCAAGGATACTCGTGTCAATGTGGCCGAATCGTCAATATGTGGCGCTCACATGCTGAACTGTCATGGTTCGACTCCTGCTGTGAGGTAGAAACTGCAGTCCACTCCAGTCGGGATGAGGACAACTTTTGATAAAGCAGGGCTATGTGAAATTGAATGGAAAGGTCAGCTCAACTCATATGATTGTGGGAAAATTCTTCTTCTACCAGGCTTTGATGACCTTAAACGAAATTGTGTGAATGCATTTCCTATCGCCAGTGGAATCGGCAAAGTTGCTTATTTTCGAAGTGAGTCGATCTTGAAACTGTCCTTTCTGCAAATGGAATGTATCAACATCTTGCGGCCAAGAAACATGCTTTCAACTGCAGGTCATCATGATTATCATGAGCATTATCTTTGGAACAGTTGAACGGTTGAAGGGTTAAAGAGCAAATTGGTTTTCATTCGTCACCAACAACTTGTAACTGTGTGCTGACGATGACGCTTCTCACATTTGCGCTTGTACCGAGTCAGTGCTCGAATGCTGGAAATCATGAATAGGGACTCGGTACGTACTGCAAGTTGCGAAAACGAGCTCGAACCAACGCTATAAAGCCAGAAGCGGCTGCGGCCTAACAGAAGGTCACACCATCTCGGTCGTCATGGCTACGCCCATCTTCTGAAGCCAACGTGGCTGGCTGTCTTGATCCCGCTGGTCACTTGTTGTATGCTCGATTCTGGGTCACAGCTCGAGTCACTCATTCGACGAGTCCCGGCGATGGTACCTGCGCTCGTCTGCCCCGGCCACGCTCGGGTTGGCTAACCGAGGATAAACATTCTCTCCTCTTTATGGTGTGTTGAAGTGTCGGTCTGCAGGCTCCCGGTAGCCCACACACACACACACGCACACACGCACACACAGAAACACACAAAGAGCAAGAGGTAGAGATGGAGATAGAGCGAGAGAGAAGCGTATGTGAATCGGTGATTGCGACGGAGCGCATGTGTCCAACCGTCTCGGTTGGCCAGTCGCCATGGCTCCGAAGCGGTCTGGAGACGAGACCGCCGAGCAGCCAATCAGGCGTGCCGAGAAGAGGTGAGCGAGTGACAGCTTTCTGTCCTTGTCGCCGTGTCGTTGGTACAGATTCGTCCGGCTTTTCGTCCCTGCCTTCCGGCTTGCCGTCCTGTCTGCCTCGTTTGTCTCGCCTCCTCCACCGTTTTCGCCACCTTCCTGCCCCTTTCATCT